CCCCAAAACCCCAAAACCCCTCTAATACAAAGAAAATAAAAAAATGATGGGCGAAGTTAAAATTAGAAAAATTTATAGTATTTCTATTTTATTTTGAAATTAAGCCTTAGTTATTTAGGTTGATGTCAATCCAACAAATAAATTTGATAATTCAACATCCCTCTGTTCTCTCATACTTTGGAGCGATTGAGGGGCATCTCTCATTCATGTGAGGGTAAGGTTTGACCGTTGAGAAGCCTGGGAAGGACATCTTGTAAGCACCTAGAATTTGACACCAAGGAGTGTTAGGCTCAGTTTCTTAACATTTCTTGCTTCTCCAAGTTGAAGTTGTTTCGAATATTGTTAGTTGGTACATGTCTCTTGGTGTTTGCTCACCAGGATTGAATATCATATCCCCAAAGACTCCAGCTGCTTTCATGACTGCAGTTACATATGTACTACAGACATAAGATCTTCCATCCTTAGGTTCTAAACCTTCATACTCCCATCCATCAAGTTCAGGCATTGCTATAACATCATCAAGAGTCAAATTTCTCTTAGCAGCTTCAACTGAAATTTAGGATAGTGTTAAACCTTTAGTTCCAAGTCTCTTATTAAGAGCTTAATTCATAAAAATATCAACAACTTCGGGGGAAATCGTTTCAACTAAGGAAAAAGTATTGGCCAGCATGCCAGGAGGTAGCACTGGAGGATTATTATCATTAGGTGTATCAAGCCATGCAAACAAGAAATTATGGAAACCATAGGCTATTCCCTCAGTTTGATTAAAGAATTCTTATGCCTTCGTATTATTAAACATTGATCTAGCCAACTTATTTAGTCTGAAGTGAGAAACATGATATTGAGCGTCTTTAGCATACCTAATCCAGTCTTAAAGCTTATTTTTCTATACAGTAGCTTTTGGCCAATACCAAGCATCTTGCACTTCAATCATGTAAATTTCATCGTTGAAACTAACAGCAATTGCACAGTGACCGATAGTACCGCCTGCACCATACATTATAATCGGATCTAAACCATCGAGTCTCATGATTCCGAAGACATCACCTGGTTTAACATCTTCCTCTTTGACTTCAATTTAATCATAACCTCTTGGAGGCATATCATACTCCATAGAATGTTTTAAGAAATCTAAGTTTGCATTAATCATATAGTCTGGAATCACCATATTGAAGGGCTTTGGCCAATCCTTATGCATAGTTAGAGCGCCTATAAACAGTTCTAATGTGTGAAAAATAGACATGAATGTATCTTGATAATCATCGCAAAACTAATAAATTCTGATTTTGTTGACATCGATACTTTATCTAGCGTCTTTATTTAGATTATTAAAGACAAATTCATGCTTTCCTTTCATAAAAATAGTCTCAAAATGATAGAATTCTTAATGAGCAATTAAGAACCAGTCTTTGCAAAACAATCCCTTAGGATTTTTAGCCTCAATTATTATTTTAACTTATTTAATCTGGTCTCCTACCATGTAATGAACATACTAGAATGTGATGTCTCTAAAGCAATTTCCTTTTATGCTAGTTCTAGTTTGATTTCTTGAGTCAAGTTATCCTACCTCAACAGGGAAGAAATGTAGCACATCCTAAGGCCCTCCATATGCTCTTTCTTTATCCTTGCATGTGAAAATTCTTTTGCCACCATTGATTCTCTCATTATTTGCAGCAATTAGATCTTATGAGGCCTTGAGTATATCTGCTTACTAATTAAAATCTTAGTTAGTTATTTTTTTATTGAGGAAAATTTCCTTTCTAATTCCATCCTCAAAGTGATTAATGAATTCTAAAGAGCCTTAGAAATTCTTCTTAACTTGCTATTTAGCAATTTCAAAGACGTGTTCAGCTTTCCCAAATGAAGTTTAGTCAAGTAAAAATGCACTCAGAAGCAGAAGTAAATTTAGTCCTTTTCTCATCTTTATTATTATTCAAATTACGCAATACATAATCATTTAAGTTGATGCAGATGCGGGGTTTTGGGGTTTTGGGGTTTTGGGG